GTGATAATCGATTATTTGCGAGAGCTTTGAAGAGGATACAACTCTCTGACTAAAATAATCGATTATCAAGTGAGATAATCGATTATTCTTATCAGCTTTTGACAGCAACGTGATTTTTCTGGTTTTGGTGCATCTTAGACACTTTAATGAGTTTCTAACACTCCAAACTTGATCTATATGACAAAATAAACTTGTATAACTGATTCTAATACTTCCTAATCTTATTATCTAGTGATTTAATGTTGATTTAAACTCTAAACCCTCAATTTCATCAACCTAGGTACTCAATTCTGAATCTACCACTTATAAATTATTTTTAACACTTTTAACACTCCTAATGAGTCACAATTAACTTACCCAAGTTATCTAAACTGATCCTAACAGCCTGGAATACAAAATTCAGATTTTGACTACCTTAGTTCTCTTCATAGGTTATAAACTTCAATGATTCACATGGTTATTTCCTAATAAATTATTTAATAGAATTCATTTCTTCTAAGCATTCAAAATTATCACAGCATTGTATCAATACCAGTTCCTAATCATCCAATTCTCAGTTCATATCAACATCAACCAGCAATACACGATCAGATAGGCAAAATCACAAGTTTTCAGATTATCCTTAATTAAAATCCAACCCATGAACTTTACATGCACTCTATCACTATATCTACTAAATCTAACTCATGCAAGTTCAAGAATTTCACAGAACATCACAAAAACCCCAGCTTCCCTTACCTCTAGTGTAGACAACCAAGCTCAAGTAGGAACCCTAGACCACTTGCTTGCACTCCCAAAATGTTAGAATCACCTATAAATCATCAATTGATGATGGAAAACGAATCTTAGAACCAAATAGAAGCTAGATTATGGAAGAAAACGAAATGGGTTGCATGCAACAAGTTCAATCGCATGCTTACAACCCTAGGGCACACGAGAAAAGGGGTTTTCTTACCGGTTGGAGAAAACGGAAAATCAATCGATAGAAATGTAGCTCTTGGAGTCCTGAAGGTCTAGGTAGCTTCAATTCGGGAAACAAATGGTTAGATTTTGGAGTTGGAATAGAGAGAGTGGCAAGGCAAGGAAGAGAAGAGAGAGTGCTTGAAAGAAAAGGGGGAACATTCTTCTGAAGCACAATTTAGATGTAGTTTCTTTTTTTTTTTAGGAGATTAAGTCTTTTTACTTTACTAATTTTGCCAACCTATCCTATGCTGCCATGAGTACACGCTTTTTGGTTATATTTTATAAGGCCTTACATTCTCCCCAACAACAAAAATTTTTGTCCTCGAAAATTAGGACTTACCAGAAAATAGGTGAGGATATGACTTCTTCATCTCTTCCTCCTTCTCCCAGGTAGAATCGCCGGTTCTACTGTCCCATATGACTTTGATCAGTCTATTAGCTTTCCCATCTGGTCGTTTGGATAGCCTCTCATCTACTTTGACCGGTTGCATCTCTATAGAGAGATCTTCCTTGACTAGTACAGTGTCAGCTTCCAACACGTGAGAAGGGTCAGGGACATACTTCCGAAGCTGAGAAACATGAAAGACTGGATGGAGATTAGCTAGCTGGGGCGGCATAGCTATCTCATATGCGACTGGTACGATGCGTCTAGAAATCTGATATGGCCCAAGGTATCTGGGAGAAAGCTTCTTAGCAAGGATAGCCATCCCTACTCAAGTAGTAGGTGTCACACGAAAAAACACATGGTCATAGACCTCGAACTCCAAAGGCCTGCGTCTCCTGTCAGCATATGATTTCTGCCTACTCTGTGAGGCTCTCATCCTCTCTTGAATCACTCTCACTTTCTCAGTCGTTTGATGCACTATTTCTGGCCCAGTCAACACAAACTCCCTATCCTGGAACCAGCATAAAGGTGTCCTGCAGCGCCTCCCATAAAGAGCTTCGAACGTTGCCATTCTAATACTGGTCTGAAAGCTGTTATTATATGTGAACTCCACCAATGGCAACACTTCATCCTAGAATCCCAGATGATCAAGTACACACGTCCTAAGCAGATCCTCCAATGACTGTATAGTCCGTTCTGACTGACCATCAGTCTGAGAATGGTAAGCAAAACTCATCTGGAGTGTACTGCCCATCTCATTCTGTAAAGTCTGCCAGAAGCGAAAAGTGAAGCGGGGGTCTCTGTACGATATGATGCTGGAAGGCATACCATGCAATCTAACTATTTCCTTGATGTACAACTGAGCTAACTTCTGCATAGGCATCTTCAAATTAATTGCCAAGAAGTGGGCACTCTTGGTCAATCTATCAACTATTACCTAGATGACATCATGTTTTCTGACAGTGTATGGCAAATGGGTTATGAAATCCATTGCAATGCTGTGCCATTT